TGGTTAATTGAACGATGACGATAACATCAGTGGTGGTGGCTAAGATGCAGGCTGATGAGGAAGAGGAGGATGAGGAGGTGGAGTAGGAAGTTGATTAGTACTTTGGCCAGATGGAAATGATTTTTTGGAACATTGAAGTATTTGGATGTTAACCAGCAGTAACTGTAATCCTAAAATTAAAAGAAATTGCTTCTTTTTTTTGCATTTCTATAGTTTATTTCCCGTTGTTTGCTGTAGAAAAAAAGAGAGAAAGAAGTGCTGTTATTAGCCAAAGAAAATGCAGCAAAAAAGGAAGAAATGATTTGTTGATGGATAATAAAAAAAGAAAACAAAGAAGGGAAAGTTTTTTTTTTCTGTTTTGTTTCTCAGTTTTTCCTCAAAAATTATTGCTAAGTGGATGTGACAAGAATAAATAATAGTTGTTGATGTCGTTGTTGCTGTTGTTGCTGCTGCTGCCGTCGCTTCTGCTACTGCTACTGCTACTTTTTTTCATGCTTCTTTTTTTTTTTCCGGATGGCACGATTGAAAACTTATTCTGTTTTATTTGATTATTTATCCTCTTTTTTTGTTTTTACTTTTAGATGTGAAAAAGAAGATGTTTAATATTATTCAGTGATTTTCGTTGAATTACAATTCTCTTTTGTTTTTGTTTTTGTTTTTTTGTTTATCATTAGTTTGTTATTGATTTGTTTCAGGAAAAATCACAAGAAGAAAAGTTTTTTTTTTATTGAAGTTGTTTATTTGGGTATCCGGTGCCTCTAAATTGGTGATGGGAAATATACTGTTCCGACGTAAAAAATATGTAGCTGACGAGTTGGAAGAATTGCAGAAACGTGGTGAAGCAATTGATGCACAAATAAAAAGCAGTATAGTGAAAAGAGTATGTTTTTTTTTTTGCTACTTTTGTTGACGTTGTTGATAAGGATTATTGAGATGCAAAAAAAAAAAAAATTTTTTGAGCTAAAAAGCGGAATAGGAGAAAGATTAGGAGACATTAAAAATAATGGAGAGACAATTGGCATTCTTTTTTTCCCCCCGCTGGCACAGTGATATTATTTTGGCGATTACGATGTAAAAATTATGTCTACTATCACTGCAAAAACAGCAAAAAAAAAAAAAAAAATGCTTTATTTGAATTAAGTTTAGCTAAATAAACTTGGAAAAGCAATCAGCATAATTTGTGCAACTGTTAATTAGATCTTCAGTTTTGCTGATATTAAAACTATCAGTTTTTTTGGACGATGCACAGTAAATAAATATATTTGTTTCTACTTTATTTTTCTCTTTCTTTTTTTCAGCAAACCGTTCAGTGGTTTTCATCGTTATCGGTGTTTTTTTTAATGCTAATATCTATCGGATTTTCGTTGATTACCGGTACAGACAAAGGGCTTAGAGTAGCGTATTCAGGTTTCAGTGTAATTACTGGTGAGCAAAAAAAAACACTTGCATTTTTTTTAATTACACATTATTGATCTTTTTTTTACTTTTTTTTTTTTTTAAAGAGTATCTCATTGTTTTACGTGGCAGCAATGGATTTTAGATCAGTCATTTATAAACTGTGCTTTTTTTTCAGGTTTTTTCCTTCTCTATTGTTTTCGACGAATGATTAATGAATATTATAATTGGAGTATACAGAGAAAAATACATGCACGTGAAGAAGTTACAAAAAAGAAACGTGAATTATTAGAAAAGGTTAAAGAAACTGAAACGTTTAAAGTAAGTTTCTGTTGCATTAAACAAACGTTCTTTTCGATCACTGTATTCTAGAAGTTTGAAAGTTTTTTCGCTGTCACATTGATTCGGTATAGTTTTGCTTACTTGGCATTCTACCTGTCAGTGTTTTCTTGCAGAACTTGTTGATATTAGCTATCTCATAGGTTGCGAAAGAGATACTTGACAAGTATGAGGATACGCCTGTACCTGATCCTGGTCAGCCTCGTTTGTCTCGTCGTTCTCCTTGTCGGAATCAATCAATAAATACTTGTAGGTTTAAATCACGTTCCACTTATGAGTATTAGTACGAGTGTTATCGTATAACTAGAGATGTTGAGGAACTTTGTATGTATTTTGATATGACACAAATATTACGTAGTTGTTGTATAAAAGAGCTACATTTTTTGTGGTTTAAAGTGATAGAGCAATCAGTTTTAAGCAGATACCTCATTCGGCGCCTCTCCTACAAAAAATGATGATGAGAAGGTTAAGGAGAATGAAGCAACAAGTGAGACAGTTCGACCAGCCGAAAGTAACCCACAGGTCGACAGTCGACCAGTACGTCATATGCCGCCAAAACCGCCACGACCATTTTATAAACCATCGCAGAGTGTGACTGAAAAGCTCGTAGATTTTATTATTGGGGATACACCGTCTGATAGGTTTGCAATCATTTTTTAATTCTTAGTAGGCAAAAAGTATGAGTGCTCTTGTCTTCTCGCCTCTTAAATTCGGCC